TTTAGGGTTTTGGCGCTCACACTCGGACACTCCAGGCGAGGCATGTGTGAGAGGATAAGGGCCACAGGAGGGTTTCGGGTTCCGGGTCTAGGCCCATGTCTTCGTCTGCTGCCACCAGCCGGCTCAAACATTTACTGGAAGAGTTTTCAGGCCATCGCCCAGGCGATGACTGTCAAAGAACCTTCTAAATAAAGCAGCCGCTCCCTGCCATTCTTGTTGCGAGCGCTTCACGTAAAATACCTTGGCCACTCCCACTCCACTCCAACCCACCTCCACGCCCCTTTCTTGGGTAGTTCTCCACTTAAGGTCCCTTTGTAGGTCCCCAAAATAGTACGGCACCTTACAAAAGGGACACTAAAACGGACCTGAATGTAGAGAACTACCCCATATCCAGACCAGTCTCCTGCAGGAGAACTCAAGGTCACAAGGATTATGTAGGGAATACAGCACGCACCCCCCCCCCCCCAAACAAAGTTATGGAGGGTTGCTTACTCTACTACTTAATTGCATAGGGTAGGTTCTTATCTTAAGAATCTAAGAAGGCTTCCTCGATTGACGGGAAATCAGAATCTCAAGCCTAACTTCCGAAAAACAAACAGCTTTCTATTTCGAGACATGCCATCTTGCCTGAGTTGGGGTTTAGGCTTTCGAGCTTAAGAGGGGCCTCACAGATGCAATTGGGATTTAGGGCTTGGGAGTTTGGGCTTTGGGCTTTCGTGTTCAGAGACTTGACGTTTCGGGAACCGGATTTGACATGTCAAGTCTGAGGTGCAAGGGGTCTAGGTTTAGCACCTTGAGGTATTTTAAGGTCTAGGTGTTTCAAGGCGGAGGCTTTCAGGGTTTAGGGTTTAGTGATTAGGGTTAAAGGTTTTTTTCCTCCCACTTAGCAAGGACGAGCCCGCATTGCAGGTTTGTTCATGGTTAAGGGTTTAGGGATTAGGGTTCAGGGCTTTAGAGTACAGGGATATTTCGAAACTGAGCAGTTGGGGGTTTGGTCGTATGCAGAGAGACGGCTGCTGCTTGGCGGTGAATGAAGGTTACGAAGCGCTTGTCAGGTAACGGACCAAGCACCTTGAGACCTTGACGTCTTAGTCTTGCACTTGTAGGTTAAGATCCGTGGACGCCACCAGGTGCTTGATCAATTTCTGAATCAGTGGGCTTTGCCCACTCGCGGATCCATTTGCAGGACAACATGCTTCGGCTCCGTACAGGGAACAGTTCTGGCCGCTAAAGGTATCGCTTGGGGAACGCATCATCCCAAACCTGTCTTGCTGTTCCACCTGATGTCGAACATCTGAAGCCCAAACCGTACACTTGTATTCCGAAACCCGAAGCCCGTAAACTTCAATCACTATACACCTTACCCATAGTCTCCATTGTAGTTCTTCTTTTTGCTGATGAATTGTACGGCTAGGAAGCAGACATAAACCCTATAAACCCTAAAACCTGACCCCCGAGACTGCTTCCCTGTGCTCACAGGCCCAAATCCGTTAGGCACGCCCAGATCTGTCTTCCCAGTGGAGAACTACGGTTTATTTAGGGCTCCTTTAATTTGGGGCTTAGGATCTTTAAGTTTAGGGCTCAGGGTTAAGGGGTTTAGGGTTCAGCCAGGGTTTAGACTCGCAGATGAGGTTTGGAGATGGCATTTAAGAGTTGTGAAGACCACTATTCCTCAAACTCCACCTCTTCCTCCGCATTACAAAAGTTTAGGGTTTAGGGTTTAGGGTTTAGGGACTTCAGGACTGAGCCTGACGTCTCAAAGAGCAATCTAACGGACTTGGAGAACCACAGCTGGATGGCGGCTTCTGAAATTCAGTGGTCCCGGCGAAGGCGGCATTCTAGTTGACGGGGCTCCCACTATACTATACTATACTGTGGACCCGTGCTGCTTTCGGAAACCCCCAGATCCAAAACAACAACCGCTCGGCTCTAATCAGCGCTTCTGACCACTCCTTGAGTGGCCAAGAGCAAGAAGACCGTGGGTGTCGGATGCATGTGGTGCACAAAGCCTGGACAACCGGGACTCGGTATATACATATCGACAGTGTCCGCAACCATGGGCTGAATCACAACGTGCAGTCTAGAGTCTAGACACCACATGCTGCATGACTTGTCCGTCTGCTAGGAGAAACTGAAGGGTACGAGGAGGTAATCAGGTAGATCTACAAGCTGTAGACGTCCGTCGGCAGAGCTTTGGGGCCGCATATCACAACGCAGCAGCAGTGGCAACGTCATCATCAAAAACAACGCCCCCCCATCAGAACAAACAACGTTGGAGCACTAGCAGCACACCGCAAAGCTTGGACAGAGTAGGAGGACTGCAAATACAACTCCGGAGTTGCTATGATGATTCTAACGGTAGTGCTGGTGATGGTGATGGTCATAATGAGGACTCAGATGTGGAATGCTGAGATGATGATCATGGTGGTAACGACCTTCATCTTTTGCTTCACCCTTACTCGAACAGATATATAGCAAGCAGGAATCAAAGAACCTCAGCCCCAACCTTCCCAGTCCCTTCCGATCCGCCTGCAGATTGCTATACACGGACCTCAACCCGACTGACGGGGTGAGGAAACCTTTGCAGACTTCTCACTGGCTGTGGTACCAGCACCCAGCGTCCTGGCTGAGCACACAAACTTCGAGCAGTGGCTTGTATCTTTGGCTGAGATACTGAAGGAACAAAAAGCGGAGTTCTCTGGTGGGCCCCCTTCAGTTTGTGACTTTGCGCAGTGCATGACCATATTTTATAAGTTGTGTCGAGCATGTTCCTGTATACACGCATACATATACATATACACGACATGTTCATATGCATACGTGTGTGTATATATATATAACAAATATGAATATGTATGCGCCCATGCAGTGAGGGAGAAAGAGAGAAAGAGAGAGGGAGGGAACCTTGGGGCAACACCCAACAATACACCTCACACGCCAGTACCCAAACTGCAAACCTAGTGATGAAGCTTTAGGGCTTCTGATGTAGGGATAATGGTACGGGGTTTATCGTTGTGGGTTTCCCACAATAAATGTACAGCAGCCTCATCCCAGAACCTTGCTGAGCGCCAGGCTCTGCAACCGTTGAAACTCTTCAGAAAAGTGGGTACTCACCCTTAACCAAGTCGGGCGCTTGGACGAATTCAATGTTACCCTGTTCTTACGGCTATTGCGAAGGCTTTACAGGTTTTCCATCATCATGATACAGCTGTTCAGGATGTGCAACAGAAAGCATACGGACTCTGCAAGCCGTACACCTCCAAGGCGGCAACCCCACGAAAGACTCGAATTTCCTAAGTCCTGAGGCCCTAAACTCTAGTCACACTAAACCCTAACAAACCCTAACAAGCCCTACAGGAATACGCCCGAACCAAACCTAATAAATCCGCAACCCCAACACACCTTAAACCCTGCTAAACCCTAATAAGCAAATCCACGGTGTGGAGAGTGCTTGAGGCAGGCACGCTGGCTCTCTGTGGAAAGTGAAAAACAAGGACAGAACTGTTGCCACATAAACCCAAAACTTCGATCCCTGTCCAGCAAACCCTACTAAGCCCAACCGTAAGACACACCTACCAGACCCTAAATCCTGAACCCTGAAGTCTTAGGGGCTGCCTACCCTCGCCCAAAAATGGTTAAAAACCTTTCGAATCATAGTAGAGTTATATAAGCCCAAGAGGTTAAAGGTTACCTACTTAAGCCCAAGGTCCTAAACATTCCTAAACCCTAAACCCTAAACCCCGCATCAGAAAGAACCGGTCGGACAGGGGACTGGAAGAAGATCGCCCAAAGCTGCGCCTCATCGCGGTGTTCCTGGGCTGGTCTTGTAGGGTTGCTAGGGCTTTGGGGCTTTAGGTTTGGGGTTTTGGGGTTTTCTCCCTTTAGGGTTTTTTGTCCGTTTAGGTTTTAGGGTTTTTCCCTTTAGGGTTTAGGGTTTAATGATTTCGGGTACAATGCACAAAGATACACCGAGACTATTCGAGACTGTTGAGGGTGCAGGCTGCATGGCTCATGTCGTCTTGGGATCTGTTTCTTCAAGGATCCGGGTTAACTTTGTCTTCACAGCTTGGGCCTAAACCCCAAAAGCCGTGAACCTTATCTGAGCAGGCTACAAGTTACAAGAGTTAGGCGCCTTCATGCATTGATAGTGTGAGGGTTTTGCAGGCGAAAGACTTCATTCAGATCCCTGCAAAGCTCCTGTAGCCGAGGCTTCTTCATTCGGCCGTCCGGTTTAGGGTATATGGGAAAGAGCTCACGGCTGCGATTTTCTCGATTCCTATGCCCAGAGCGTCGCAGGTAAAAAGGTGCGGTACTCTCCGGAAAAACCGACACCTCAGAAGTCGCTTTCCGCTAAAGTATATACGCTGGCCCCAAACTACCCATATTAGAACCGCTGTCAAGTCAAAGTATGCATTACTCAGGTACATGGGCCCTTAGGGTGACAACTAGAGGCTGCCTTCCTGTCGCGTGAAAAACTTGCATCCGAGAGAAGAAAGGGGTATTGGAAATGATGATATCCTGGCTTCATGTCTCCAACAACAACAACAAAGGGCAAAACCCCTCAACCCATTAAGCCCAAGCCCGAGCCCTCCACAGCTGCGGCACCTGAGGCCTCAAAAAGCCTGGACCATGTAGAAGAAAAACATAGAAAAACCAGCAAAGCCCCATGGCAAGAATCGTGCTCGAGGTGTTGCCGTGCCTGGGCAAATCGCAAGGCTCAGACATTAGAAGGACTGTCCCCAAGTCTCCTCGTTGAGCTGCCTATGTGTCCGGTCTCCTAGCTGAAGCAAAAACTATCGAACCCACCCTAGACCCCAAATTTTCTGGTGGTCTACACAAATTATACGACCCCCCCCCCCCCCCCCCCGAGAACAAAAAAAGCTCAAACACCTACTCGACGACCGAGGCTCTTGGATTTTGTTGGGTTTTGAGCATCAAAAACCATCGAACAGGACGTATCCGGATTTTTAATAAGAAACCGAGGGGACGTAAAACAACGCGTCTGAATAGTCATCAATAAAATCGCCTCCCTCATAGTCACGTCGTGGTCCATGTGTACATGCACTATACCATTCCGTGCAAAATCCATTCGACTTTTAGTAAGGCCCCTGTAGTCTGTGCGTTCAGCAGGTTTTGACAGACCAGGGGAGCTATTCTGTAAGCCTTAGCCCGGCTCGTAGCTGATATAGAGGTCAATAAAGGCCATACAGAGTATCAGGGCTGAGCACGTAGGGTTCCTCTACAAGGGTTTCGATAAGGTTTTCTACGAAAAGGTCACATTGCACAAGGTGTTTATGTGAAACCGTACTTTTCGACCTTGTGTTCCTCCACGTAGCAACCATGGCTCGCAGGAAACATGTCTTTGAGGCATATACAAGCTTCCCGCGAAGACACGGGAAGTTGAGGGTACAGGGAAGTTCTACACCTCCTGTTGAGTGCTACAAGGAATTCGACTTTTGAGTTTACAAACACTTCCAGCATGAAAATATACAACAACATCGTGTCGGCCGCTCACAGATTTCGACCTGCTGCTTCGTAACCACGGCTTCCGTTTTCCACATGTTGTACATCCTAAGCAATCCTGAACTCCTAACCTTGAGCTCTGAACACTCTGCAAGTGCTTAGGGCTTTGGGATATAGGATTTAGGGTTCAGGGTCTTCCAGCAACCTCGGTTGCATCTCCGTGCCCCTCAACCTACGACTTGAGGTGCATGCTCTGGCTGGAGAGATTGGGAAACCAACAAAAGACGGGAGATGAGAAAGGCAGGTACATCTTGCAGATGTGTTGCCTGGGGCCTTCCGCCGGCATAACTCCTGGGAATGGGGTACACAGCGTCTTAGTTTTTTTCTGTAGCTTCTCTACGACGGGTGCTTGCAACTTCGTCCATCTTAAATATTATACCCATGATTGTATCCTTGCCGCCTAGCCCAACGCGACGCGTTTGGACTTCTTTGGGCCTCACGCTCGCGAGGCTCTGCTACGATGTGCAGGAGGCCCATTGGAGGCTCAAGTCCGCTAAATTTCTCGAGCGCTTTCGGTGAACACGCATTGCATGATCAGACTTTGGAACCTCAGTGCTGATGCACGGGGCAAGACGCGCACAACCGCAAGCACCCGAGACTATGGGAAACGTTGTTCATTCCTTGCTACGGAAAGAAAAGCCTGCACAGAGACTCTCTACAAGTCCTCCACCGGACAATCTAGATTCCCAAAACAACCCGAAACCCTAGAACCCTGAAGGCCTTTTGTAGGGAACTCCTATGCTCATAGGCTTAACCCCTAAACCCTATAGGTCCAAGATAGCTCAAACTTTACCCAGCCTTCAACACACGGTCCTAAAGTCCTGGCGAAGCAGCCTAACAGACGCATGCAGCCCTATATGGATCTTTCTCGCCTTTACAACCCAGACAAAGGCCTGCAGCTATTATAGCTGCCATAAGGGGATATGAGTACGAAACAATTCATCGTTCAGACCTCAACATTAACTGTAGTATTCGTTGTAATTCCTTTTTGAAACTTTCGTCCTTGACCAATGTTACATTTAGGATCTCGAAATTACAAGGTAACCCAACAAAGCAACTACACTGGAGACTCTCCCTAAACCCTGAACCCTAAACTCCTAAACCCCTAAACCCGAAACCCCAAACCCCTAAACCGTTAAACCCCTAAAGCTCAAACCCTAAACCCTAACTTAAACGACCCTGGGATCTTTCCGTCTGACAAGGGGCGCTTTTCTTCCGGCTGCCGGGGTCCAAGGCTTGTCCCACGGTGCCCGTGCCTGTGCCTTGGGCATAAGGCTCAAGGTCCGAAGGATGCAAGAACGGCATTGGGGCTTTAAAACTTTAGGGCTTCCGGCTTTTAGGGCTTTAGGGTTTTAAGGCCTAGGGTTTTTGGGTTTGGGGCTTTAGCTCTAGGGTGTTTAGGGTTTAGGGTTTTATAGGCTTTACGGTTCATCTGTTTATGGGGCCTAACGGCCTAAACCCTAAATCATGAACCCTACGTGGGGGCAGGTTAAATGCTCCAGGGAAACAATTATCTCGAATGCGCGTAGTCGGTTATTTTTCATATAAAATCTAACCCAGCATGAGCAACGCGTTACTAATGAAGGCAACTGGGAGCCCAAACGCTGAGTCCTGAACATGGACCCGAAAACCCCTTCAATCCTCAAAGCCAAGGCCTGAAACCCTACAAAGGGCTCCCGAGGTTTGGCAATGTAGGGGGCTTAGTAGTTAGAATAGGGGTTTAGGGTTTAGGGTTTTGGGGTACATTATATATACTATAATTGTAACAAGGAGCCACCAAACTAGTTCCGAGCGGTGTCTTAGCAAGCTACATCAACTTCATGTAGGGGGCTTGCTAGTGGGTTTTGGGGCACATTATACGAGAATTATAGTAAGGAGCCCCGAAACTAGTATGGGTAATGATTAAGGCCCCTATATTTAATTTAAGTCAGACGTGCGTTCAGTAGTAGAATCACGGAGCTTCGAGTACTGCAGGGTCCTCAGACGCTTCGAACTGCACGCCTAGGTCTGCGAGAACTGTCTTTTTCACTTTGCTTTTGAATTAAGTCCATCAGCCCTGACCCTTTCAACACAAAGCTGTCGAACCTCTAAATCCCCCAACACTGAGCAACCAAAGACACGCTACGCCTGATATCGGTTGAGGACAAGGTCAAGCCTACATACCAAATCTGCAGGCGATTCGGAGCAGGGTTTGGGGTGTGTAGTGGGTTATCCCGTGCTCTTGGCGGGTGTTTCTGCTTCTTGCTTGTTTCGCATTCCCTTCTTTTACACAAAACTCAGCAATGCAAACGAAGCTCATGCTGGTGTCGGTAACTCCGACTGACCAAACATAGGACACGCTATCAGAATGTCAGCCGTTACAACGTGTAGTAGAGACCCTCGTGAACTCCTGTGCCCCATTCAAGCGTTCTCACAGGACGGTCGCTACATTTTCGGCTTCCCTTACCCAAGTGCCTCAGAATCGCGAATGGTAACGCAACCTACATGATACCATCCGAAACCTAAGTGCCTAATTATCAGATCCTTTGGACCTCTAGGATTACAGTTACCTAATGCATCTTACGAGTGTACTAAGCAAAAGTTGAAATTGAAGGACTCCCCTTTGGAAGCCCGTTTCGATTTGGGTAGTTATCCAAATTAGGGTGCCTTTTGGGGTCCCCCAAAAATGCGGCACCCTGATATAAAGGACCCAAAAGGTATCCTAATTTAGAGACCCATCCGTTTGATTCCGCCGTGGGGCCACCGAAGGGTGATCGCGCCGCACGTGCAGGTGATATCCTTTGACCCAAGGATGATGGGTGTCGAATAGCACTGAAAGCCAATCGAAAGACCACAAGATGGGGTCATAATGACAAGAATAGGGTTACTTGGGGTACCTGGGGCCATAATAATTAGAATAGGGTTTTGGGAGCTACCTTAGAGCACATAGAAATATAATCAGGAACCTTATAATTATGAGGATGAATGTTAGTATGCATAAGTACTCATTTGCGATCCTTTTTCGCTGAGCTGCCATCTAGGATTTAGGGCACGAAGTTGGACCTCCCTGATTCACATCATCAGTTTGTTTGATCGCGGCGCAAGCTAATTCAGGGCGGTCAGCTACTGAACATGTAGTCCGCATCTACATCTTTTCAAATACGCAAAATACCACACCCTATCCCAAGCTGGTGGGTGGCTGAGAGGCTGATGTCGATGCCGCCGGATTTTGGATACGCGCGCTGGATCAACTGAAATTTAAAAGTAGCGGCTTCAAAAACTAGAGCAAACAGTTACAAGTATAGTCCAAAGACACGTAAAGCATTGCGGACTATAAGCGGGCATGAGGACCCCTATAGAAAAGGTCCTGAGGAATGACTTGATAGACTCCCCTGGTTCGTCTGCGGCGGTGCGGTGCAGTAAAACCGGGATTACACGAAAGAAAACTCAAGACGCCAAGCTGTGTTTAGTACGACAAAACCTGCACATGACTCTAAACCCTAAACTTCATAAATCCCTAAATCCTGAACCCTGGACCCGCAAAACATTAAACCCCAGAGCCCCTAAGCCCAAAACCCCAGAACACCCTAAGTCACGAAGGTTCGCTGTGCCAGAGCTCGGAAGGTTGGGGTTTAGGAAGGGGCAAGTTTTCAGATCTTGCAAGACAGGCGTCAGCGAAGCTAAGCTGGAAGCCACAGGGGATTTGCAGTTGTTTGGCCCCGGACCTAGGTGCAAAGCGGGTCAACTGGGACTCCGCCAAACGAGTTTTACGGCTTACACCTGCCTTCTGTGCCGAGAACCCGCACAATGAGCCCATGTATGAAGAACTCAGAACCCTGGGGCACGGCCCAAGAACACCCTGAGTTTCGGGGTTTAGAGTTTGCGCAATGCTATGTGCGGCATTACTCTTGACTTCGGATGGGAAGAGGCGGCAGCACTCACATGAGCTTTTCCTCAACACCCCAAACTCTGGACCCTAAACCCCAGCTGTCATCTTCACGCAGGTCCCTAGCTGTGTAGGTTACGTACAATTCGCTTGGTACAGAGCGCCGCTGCGAGGTCTAATATAGGTGCCAGGGCTGAAATCGGTGTGGAGATTCGTGCAAGCAAAACCCCCAGGCATCCACATAGTCGTTGCTTTAACAAGAAACGGCTGAAATCAAAAGCCTTGACTTTACGGCTGCTGGTTCATGCCCCTGATACCCCCTGATCCTACATTGTCCTACATCCCTTGTTGGCATCAACTGAATACTCCACCAGGCGAAGCACACCACATAGAGTCTGCCGAAGGCAACCAGGCAACATACCAGGGCAGCAGGACAAAACAGCGCATGACTGAACACAACCAACCATGTCCGACAATGGTGGCAACCTGTCGAAACTCGGAACATCCACGGCCGCAAACCCTCAAAGTGCTCGTCAGCAGATGGGCAACAGTGTGTGAATCCAACAAGGCTCTTAGCCTTTCGGCCGTGTTGCTGTTGGATGATGTTGAGTGATACATGAAGACCTGCAAGCCTCATGTCTTGCCGCTTTCAGCCCAGGCACTTGTCATTGTCGCGTCCAGGTCAACAACGGGCAGTGGACCCAGCGCCGCCTCAGCTCGTGGTCTGAGGCAGTTCGAGCGTTCATTTCTGGAATGTAATGTAGTGGCCCTAATTATTAGAATGGGGTTTCGCCCATCATACCATACTTATAGTAAGGAACCCCGCAAAATAGTATTGGTAAGTATTTAGGCCCCTACATTATGCAGGGTCTGAATAGCATCCGTGACGGAGTGGAGGAAACCCTCTCAGATAGCACAAGGCCCCTCATGCAGCAGATGTCCACTAGGACACCCTAAACCCTAAACTCTAAACCCCTAAACCCTAAACCCTAGGACCGCACCCTTTTTAAATCGCAAACCGGGCCAAGTCCTTCAACGCACTCGCAGCTCAGCGGCTTTGAGGTCGTTGATGTCCTGCCGGATGGACGTCATCCTTGGCTGCCGTCAGCTTGAAGTGTGCATTCGAAGTTTGTATGTTTTGGTGATCTGGGTGAGGCTTCCCCGGGCGTAGCTGTGGGTAGCTGTGGTCCAAACGTCCAAACGGTTGGGAAGAGCCTTCGGTTCATACATCAAACTCAATGACAGACTGCTTCGGACAGATGTCAGTTCCGCCGCCTGGAGCTGTGTCCTACAACCCACAGCGGGAAGAGGCTGCAATCCGGCACACGGAAGCTAAGCTCCCAGGCCCCTTCACTCTCCTAGCCTGGACTCGGGATAGCCCTTTGGAGAAGGCAGCCTGTCTCACGAAAGACGCAGTCTGACAAAGAAGCATTTTAAACTCCCTAAATGCCAAGACCTGGTTCTAAATGCTACATTTGACCGGGCTTCGAGATCACGCGCTCCTCTTCTTCCTGATTGATGCGCCCCTTCAGTGCCTGAAGCACCTGAAGAGCTTGGTCGCCTACACCCAACACCCCCAAGCTCCTCCTCAAATCCCAAACCCCTGGGGTTTGTGTGGGGGTTACGAAGGCTCCCACTTCCTACGAGATGGTTCAGATCCGGAAGCCTTGACTCATTTTCAGAACTGATATGTAGAGGCCTTGTGAATTGGGACAGGGTTTTGGGGGGCCCATTCTGCTATGATGACTCATCTTCACAACTACAAGATGATGGTTCAGGGCTCAGCAGGTGGTGTTGTTGCTTTACATATGATAACGGCCTTATTGTTGGCGAACATGACACTACTGAGTGTAGTGAGTGGCGATCGTGATGAGAAGAAGGACGCCAGCCACGAAATGGACCTTTGCTGATTCGGATACTGGTGTTGGATGTGTTGCTTAATGGCGAATAAAGTTGGGTTTTCAATGCCTCGGGGCATGACAATGGCTTGACGACCCAAAGCCAAAAAGCCCGACAACTTCAGAATTCCACCCGCCCGGAGCAGCGAAAAGTTGAAGCAGGATGCTGCGTCGCATTCTGAGCTCGCGAAGTCCCGCAACCTGCGCAACATGGCGACTTCGTCGTGGGTCGTAGGTCAAGGCCCTGCTTCTGCACCTCTACTGCGAGGAGGAGGAGGAGGAGCTCTAACTGACTGGGAGAGCGCTTGAAGTAAGCAAATTCGAAAGCCCCGGAGCCCATCTGACAAATAATGAACAAGTGACAATGACTTAGACTTAGCAGTCATGAAACGGGTCACAGATGGTACATCGCGGTCCACGTCTTAGCTGAGATTTGGCATCGTAGCAGAACACACCGCAATCACACACCCATACGCTAAGCTCCGGGCTGCTTTTCCAAGTCTGCGATAGCGGCTTTGTCCGCCGCTTTGCTTCTAGAAAGGTCCTGAGAGCCCCAATCAACGAATGCGGAAGCTCTACCCATAAATAAATAATTATATATATATATATATATTTATTTATTTATTTAATTACTTATTTATTTATTTATTTATTAGTTTTTATGTGTTTATTTATCGTTTAATATATGTATATGTCCCGTTCAGTGACTGACCCGCAAGTTCAGACGGGGGCCCGTCTGCCTTGACTGGGAAGCCCAGTCATAAGCCCTGAATCCTCTACTGTAGAGGCCTTAATAATTAGAATAGGGCTTGGGGGTATATCATACTATACTTCAAACAAGGAACCCCCCAAACCCTAGTCTAATTATGAAGGCCCCTACATTACCCCCCAAACCCAAACCCTTAACTCTCTCCCTCTCTCTCTTCTGGACGGCTTCGGAGGTAACCTGAACCCTAGACCCTTTTTGCAACTGGCTCGCAACGTCACCCCAGATCAAAAACCCGAAACCCTCCACCCCTCAACCCAAAAGCTTAAACCGTCACCGACCGAGACGTAAAGCCCTGAAGCTACAGCGCTTGCAGCGAGGAGGCGAGGGTGAGCTTCCTTGGCTTCCAGCAAGCTTTGCGGTGCTGGCTCGGGCTTCTAGGCATTCCTTTTGAGGGCTCCTCTAGGAGTGAGGCTCTAGCAAGCTTAAGGTTTAGGGTTTCGGATTTTAGGGTTTGGGTGCTCTTTTTACATGTTTTCCTGGCCCCCAAAGCCTCGACCTCAGCTCGGCGCTTCAGGTTTGGTTTACGCTTCTGCATTGAGTCCTAGTTTGGGGTTCGGGGTTTGGGGCTCTTGTGGCCTTTGCATGGCAAAACCGAGACGAAGGAGGGCAGGGAAGTTTGTGGGTGGGTCAAAAGCCAGTGAAATGCATCTGTAACCCCCAAACCTCAAACTGGCCCTAAACTGCATCTCCCGCTGCAGGGTGCTGCCAAGGGGCTGCATCGAGCTTTCCCCCCTTGGGTTTCAAAGTCACATCAAGCGCTATGAGACACCAACAAAATTGAGGGGAGGAGGGGGGGGGAGTCTGGCTCAAAACAGGCGTGGCAGCCTGCCTGATTCCAAAAACCTCATCATGACGGGGGTAATGACAGTTGAAATTCAAATCGTAATATGGCAATCACAAAAACGAACTCAAGTTGCCTCAAGGCTTCCTAGCAGCATCCGCCTAGATCGACACCCGGACCCCAAACTAGCAGAAGGAGGGAAGCGCCAGACTGACAGGGAGTCTACAAGATGTAGTACCTAAGCAGGCTAGATGTCGCTCAAGAGTTCATGTTTTTTTCGACATTCTAGGGCTTACCACGTGCTTGATTTCGGCTTCTGCAGTCTGGGTAAAGATGCGTCTACGGCAGCTGGAGTTAAAGGTGCGGAACCTTCGTGAACGTCTAAAGCAACTATAACTGCGGCCCAACAATGCCACCAGCGACCCCTGACCTCAGTCCGTCAAAACCTGGGCCCCTAACGTTGGCACCCCATAATAAAAAAAGGAGGGCATAATAATTAGAACACTGAGATCGGTAATTGGCGCAATAACAAAGAGGACAGAGTCAGCAACAACACAATTGATGAAGCGTGATCGCGCCAAAACCTCCAGAGGTTCATTTTTCAAGTCACAGCGAACATGCTCTCTCCGACGAATTATTTATAAACTAAATTCTGTAGTCTATCATCTTACAACTTATAATCATAATCGTAACCCGTAGTGATAAGGCCCGACGGATTGGTAGTAGTACCAGGTACCAACTCAGGCTTCTATGTTAAACCCGAAGCTCCCAGTACCCCTAGGACCTTTTGGAAGCATGCCTTTAGGACCCAAACTCGACCCCTGTTGATCCGTTTTTGAAACTGGACAACTTCAACCGTAAACCCGTTACACCTGGGGCTCTCACGAATCCTAAACGTCTAAGCCCTCAACCAACCCACCAACAAACCAACCAACCAAATAACCAACCTTTTCTGCATCCAGCCTGCAAGAGCCTCTGCTGGGAACCTAACGAGGGCCTAGAGCAGACCTTCAACTCTGCAATGCCACTCATCGGGTAACCAACCTAAACCCCTGCACCCTGCATCCTACACCCCCCGAGACGGCCGAGTCGAGATGCAAGCTCAAGGCATTCTCCACCTGCCGCAGGTTTGGAGCTTTTGAGCTTTGAGGTCTAGGCTTTTGGGGGTAAGGGGTTTGTAGGGGTTTGGGGATTTAGAGTTTTGGGCGGTAGAGGTTCTGCGCTTTTAGTATAGGGGGGTTAGGACTTTGCCTGGTCAGTGTTTCGGGTCACGGTGGCGGGTGCTACTCTTTGACAGGGCAAATTTGCTGGAAGCTTAACATAGACACCGAAACACGACTTGAACGGGGTTTTGCTGGTATAGCATACTGTAGTAGCAATACTGTAGTTATATCAGGACCACAAGAAAAGGCCCCTATATCAAGCAGTTGATGGATCCCAAGACGTACATCACAACCAGGGCACGTCGTCCGGAACTCGACTCCCAGTGCTTTGCAACAAAAGTCTCAGTCCGGAGCGGCGGGTGTGTTTCTGCTTTTTGGGCGCATCCACATCCGGCCTTCTTGTTGCAGAGCCGCGCGACTTCGTGGAGCCTGTCCTTGAAAGGGCTTTGGGTATAGAGTTCAGGGTTCCAGGTTTATAAGGCTTGCAGGGTTTCTTCCCGGCAGCTGATTACAGGGTTTAGGGTTCAGGGGCTAGGGCCTACCTTGCCCCTTGGGCTGAAAGCCAGGGTTTGCAGACCTCGCGGCACCGCAAACCCCCGAACCTCCCGCTCCCCCAATCACTCTCAATCAAGTGGACTTCCTAAACCGTCCCCATGGAAAGGTCATGTCGCCTTAGTGCACGGTTCAAGTGTAATGGGGGGGAGGGGTGAGGGGGTGCACCAAAAACCACCAAGCCCTAAGATCCACATGGAAACACGAAGTCTACAGACCTCTTCGAAGACCTCGTTTCGAAATGTCTTTCAGGACGCCCTGCCCCCGGTGCTTTTCTTCTAAGACTACCCGTCACTTCTCCGGCAAACTTTTTGAGAACATAATACTGGGGCTTGAATATCTACAAGGGCTTGAATAACTGGAACAGAGTTTTGATAAAGAGCCCTAACAAATCGTACTAGTAAGTACTCAAGCTTCAATTATCGCTTGCGCCCCATCTCTCCCCATGATAGGACCCCAAAGTCGGACGCTATGTCCCTCTTCAATACAAGGCCGTATTACTTCCGCTTATCTGTAAATATTGACTGCAGCTCATAATGGTTCCGTGTCCTGCTGTTCTGCCCTTTCCTTGCCCAAAGCCGCTGCCAAATCACACTTCACCTGCAACAGCACACAGGCTTCAGAGCTCGACATGCGAAAGTTTACAGGGCACCAGGGGCTTTGGGGCTCGAGGCGCATTTCACTCTGAGCTCCTCCTCCCTTCGGCTCTTGTTGAAGCTTGGGATTTAGATCTACTCGGGGAGTTCACGGAACTCAGTTCGTCCCTTGATCGTGATGAAAAGCTCTATAGGTCCAATAGTACTTATGACTTTGTAACCCGACCTACCAAGTTCCCTGATCCTCTAAGTAGGCTTTGGGTTTTGGGTTTCGCGGTTTACCGTCCCTGAAAATGATAGAATCACAACTGCACATCCTAAACCCCAACCCAAAAGAAGGTCAACTCTGAAGCTTTCCAGAAAGCGCGGACCTCAAGCATAAATACGATAGGCTCCCGATGGGGACCCCTAATATAAGACGCGACCTGGTATTGTCAAGAACCCCCCCTCAAAAAAAAAAACACATGCTTGATGGCTTAGGCTTCGTCGTTGAGGGCTTGTGGAACACCACTCCTTCTCAAAATCCTAGACCCTAAACCCTAAATCGACATCTCTGCCATGTGCCTCCGGAAAGGTTTTCGTCACGAGCGCCTTCTGCGAGCCTGCATAGCTTCATCTGCACTCATAATACAAATTACTGGAAAGTCGAACCAAGTAGGTACCTACATGCCAGCCTACATTGACATATGAGCCAACAGATCTTACATACTTTCTCCTCGCACTACAGCTATCGCATATACGTATATGTATGTGTATGTGTATATATATATATATATGTATATATATATATATGTACGGACACATCTATATTTTTGTGCGTGTATATATGTATATATGCTGTACATGTAGCCTGGTATCTATCTCGATCTACATACCGTTGCCACATCGTTCACGTCGATATACCTCTTGCCAGCATCTTGCAGAAACATATCTGACTTTTTGGAAAGGATCTAACTATATGGGAAACATAAGGGCATGCCATTATTCTTGACTCCGAGCATTGTTCGAGGCGATTATTAGATCCCCGCCTCCAAGCAGAGGTGAGGCGACGCTGTAGCAAGCCGGGAAGGGAGTCAGGTGTAGGGGTTTTGGGGATGAGATGTGGTCTCAGGTCTGCATCATGGATATGCGGAGGTTTCAGAGCAAATGCTATGGTCGTTGACTGGGTGTGTAATGTACGACATGTAAAAAAATCGCCGATCGAAGCCCTCGTCTTGAGTCTCAGGATGCGAGGCCCAACTTCAGATCAGAAACTGCGAAGCCTATACATGTACTAGGTCCGAAAACAATCTATACTATATGTAGCCCTGATAAATACCCTCCTCAAGTTTCCAAAGCCCACACCCGTGATGGACAATCGGTCGCCCGTATTCGTCGATCCCACGAGCAGCCTTCAAGCTTGCTCATTGACCGGTGCAAGTCGGTGAACCTGAGTTCGCAGCTTACAGTTTAGGGTATAGGGTTTCGAGGGTTTTCAAGGGTTTTGGAGAGCTTCTTCTCTGGAAATCAGGAAGCCAAACAAGCAAACCAACCAACCAACCAACCAACCAACCAACCAACCAACCAACCAACCAACCAACCAATAAACAAACAAACAAACAAACTAGCAAACAAACAAGCAAGCAAACAAACACACACACACACATCAAAACACAACAACACACAATACAACAAAAACACAACCAAATACATAAACAAATAAACAAGCACACCAACATTTTCATACATATATATATATATATGTGTGTGTGTGTGTGTCTGTGTGTATGCGGCAATGTATGTATGTATGCATGCATGTATGCATGAGTATTTCATTATGGGGTACAAAATAGGAGCACCCAAACCCTAAACCCTAGATCGTCTCCGCCGCGCCACATCCTGTCGAATTCGCGCTGTTGCGCCCCGCGCCGCGTTTCGATGGAGTCCTCCATAAATTCTGCGGTTTGGGGCTTTACGGCACTAAGCGCTCCTTGATTGAATTTACGGATACTGTAAAGGTGGCATGAGGGTACTGTAGTGATATTGTAAGGGAGTTTGGGCTTCAGGGTTTGCGGCTTTGGGGGTTTTGGGGTTGGGACACTATAGGGCTTGCGGATACATAAACCCTAAACCATCCTAAACCCGAAACCATATAAAACCCCAAACCATCCTAAACCCTACAACCCCAAACCATGCTTTTTTTCCCAAACCCTACCCAGAACCCCTCAAGAAGGAGGACCTCGAAGTTGTGCAATCGCTGATCGTACCTGTCCGCAAGGGCCTCAGAGCTGTGGACATCTTCGAAGTTCGAGCTGTAGGGTTTGGGGTTAGGGTTTAGGGTTTGGGGTTTAGAGTACGATCTTCGGAGCTTAGGGGGTTTAGGGTTTAGGGCACGCGGCAAGGTGGGGCCTTAAGAATTAGAATAAGGCTTCGGCCTCCTTTGTATTATAATTATCATCAGGAACTCTATGGCCCTATCGAATACATATTGGTAGTTTTTCGGATTCAATAGTATGTGGGCTAATTCTGGGGTTTAGGGCATAAAGCGGTTTAAAGAGCAAAAGGGAACAGGGTATACATATGGGTTATAGGGCCTAGAGGCATAGCTGCAGGGCTAGGGACATATCTGATATGCGGGGCTCCGGGCACGATATGGTTTCAAGTTTGGGCATTAAGGTTTAGGATTTCTGCGTTTGGGGCTTTCAGGGTTTAGGGCCGACTTTGCTTGCAACAAAATATTTAAGGGTGCAAAAGTTTGGGGGCTGAGGGTCTGGCGGTTTTGGGGGGTCAGACGACTTTGGGCTTTGGGAAGGTCTCGAAACCATCTGCTAGTGACTCCAGCTCTAAAAGAACTCCTCATGTCTCTTTTTTTTCGGCCATCCGGCACCTGCTTTCACCGACTTTTGGGGCAGAGGTCCGTTTCCACAGTCACAAGATTCGAGGCGCGGAAATTCATGAGGGCGGGCGCTGCAGCCGAAGTAGAAACGAGAACGAGAGAGGCAAAGAGCGAGAGAAAAAGCGAAAACAACAACACAAACATAACGACTGGCTGACTGACAGGTAGATAGATTGGTAGGAGGCTGGAACGGACCAAACATAAATTAGATGAGATGAGATGATACTAAATGAGATCAATTCGACAAACAACAGACAACCAGACCGACCGACCGACAAACAGACAGACAGACAAACAACCTATAGCAAAATAAATTTACATATTCTACGTACATATATGTACCTACGAATAATTTACACAAAAAGAACGACGAGAATCCATAAAGTAAGGCAGACACAGAGCGAGAGAGACAAAGAGACAGAGCCAGAGTAAGCGAGGGAGGGACCCAGAATGGGTCGTCGGGCTCGGATTCTCGAGCTCCCAGCAGCTTGGAAACGGTTTAGGGTTTCGGCGCTCACACTTGGACACGCCAGGCGAGGTTTAGGGCATTGTGAGTTTTGGGGGGTTCAGGGGTGCGGCACTTCAAGTCTCATACTGGGGCGCGAGTCCTAGCTCTAACCCCCATATACATCCTTAATCATTCCTGCAATCGATCTTCGAGACCTCCCTGCCCGCTCAAAGCCCAAAGCTGCAACAATTAAGAAGCCCAAGGTGAACTCCGATGCCAAAAACACACAAAACAGCACGACAGATACGGCCGAGGCTCTGCTAGCGTTTCCGAAGATATTTCGTCTTTGAGCCTGGCGCCAGTGATGTGAACTTGAGTGCTCAAAGCCGGCAGTCGGAGAAGCACCCAAGATCCGCAAGACCCTGAGCGTTACGCCTGCAACGTCTCAGAACCCACCCTCCTTCTGGCCTTTGCTTGCTTGCCTCGAGCTCCTCTATCAACTCCTTCTCTGCGGCCTTTGATGGCAAGCTGCGAGTTAGGTTTAAGCTGAAAAGGTTTAAGGCGATAGGGTTTGGGAACATTTGGGCCAGAGAATCCTTGTCGAAGTCCCACCGACTTTGTCTTTGTGTGCGTCGTTTAGGTAGGAGAACTGCCAGGAGAGAACTGTAGCTGATGGTGCAGTGGTGGTTAAGCGACGCAAACGGCAACGACGATGGCAAAGACGAGCAGACATGTGAGAATGACAATCGTAACGGAGGAGGTGGGGGTGGTGGTGGTGGTGGTGCTGCTGCTGCTGATGGTGGCGGTGGTGGCGGCTGGTACCATGACGACGTGTCTTGCTAGTGTGGTGATGCTGTTGAGAGGAGTGTGCCTGTAGAACAAACTTCACCAAGAAGATATCAGCTTCATGCGGGCGGCATCTTGCCAGATAAGAAGCTTCAATTGACTGACTTGTGCTGTAGTCATGCGGGCACGGAGGTTTGAGCACCAAGACCTATAACTCGGAAGCCCAACTCCGAAGTTCCTAGGGCTGATGGTCAGAAATCCAACCAAAATGCCTTGGCCTGCCTATCAGAAACCCGAAATCTGAAAGTCGTAACCGCAAGCCCCGCATAATGCCAACTCCGCAACTCAACAAGGTCTGGCTCTGGCTATGGATGTGAGATCTATTCGACTCAGCACAGAAACCACGGAAAAGCTCCGGCTTTGGTTTACGTTGTTGGGGGCTTAGAGGACCCCGTGCAAAAACGAAAACAACGACCCCTGGGATTGCAAAATTCTCCATGTCCAGCTAGGAGCAGTTCCTCTTCTGCCATTGAGCCTCAGCAGGGTCGCAAATGGGCTGGCTATAGCTGTGCTTCGTAAACACATCTACAACTTTGGCCCAAACGGGATCAAGCATAGCTAGGGTGATGATGGTGATAATCATGCATCTGGCGATGACGACGATAGTTCATATCAGTTGCTGGTTGCTAAACACATGTTACCTTCCGTGGCTTGGTTGCAAGCAAACGCAGAACTGCAGGAACACCTCTCCTAGCCCAAAGTCGGGCCACGGTGCAGCGGCTAGGTTGCAAAAAGCCCTGAGGTCAAGTAGAAGCCCTGTACTAAGAAAGTCGATCTATAGAACCCGAAAACTAGAACAGCCAGGGCTGAAGGGTTGGAGCCTTAAGCCCCTAAACTAGGGTTTTTTCCCTCTCGCATGGCAAACTAGTTTAGGGTGAAGGCCTTTGAACCATACACCCATTCTTGTGAACCCAGTCTGTGCCGATCAGCAGAGAAGCAGCACCGCAAGACTTCCAGCAAACCTGCGCAAGAATCACGCCCTCGTTATCAGAGGCCCGCAAAGTCTACAGCAAAATCGAACCCTAAACACTCAAGCATGAACCCTAAACCTTGCACCCTAAACCTTGGACCCTAAACCAAATGAAGCTGCGGTCTGGCAGCTGCTTCCGCAAGTCCTCCAAAGCTTCTAACTGCCCCCCGGCAGTTTCCTGATGTGCGTCTCAGGGTTTAGTTCTTTGTTATATGGGTTTTAGGGTTTATTACAGGCTTTAGGCTTTAGGGGTCACCACGTTCAGAACGGATCCAGGGATCCAGGCGTGAAGTCAGTGAGTTCCTTCCGTTTCAGGTTTGGGTCTCGGTGCTTTCGGGAGGGATGCTCCCACCTTGAATGCCTTTTTCCAGGCGTCCGGGACCCTAAACCCTAAACCCTAAACGCGCCATGGTAGGATAAACATTTTCAAGCCCTAAACCGAAGAGCCTTCGTATCGAAACGGGTTCCCTAGACAGAGTACGATGAGTCCTCCTTGGGGAAGGTCGCAGATTGCCATGTGGGCTTTGGTCTCTAGGCTTCCAGCTGGAATTTCGGTTGCGGGCAGAGTATCAGCTGCTGAGATCGACAGCGCACATCGAACTTCGTCAACTAGTGGTTTGCAGAAAAAGGTCAGCATCAACTGGAATATGCTTTGGGACCGTTTGCTTCTTCTGTCCTCAACACTGTGGACTTGCAAAACGTCTGCCCTGCCTCCATTTTGGCGACCTGCTGATCACAATGCGATCGCAAGACCTCGAATCAGGTCACTGGTGCGACTGGTGCGATACCCTAAAACCCGGGAAGAACCACCCTAAACCCACCGCCCTAATTATAAACCCTGAAGCATTTAAGGACCCTAAACCCCACCAAGGGAGCATATTCACCCCAAAAGAAGATGTTCTTTCAGGCCTCGATATGAGAATTTTAAAATAAACCCCCAAGCCATGTCCAAATCATGAAGGCCCTCATATCAGACCGCCAAACCATATCTTAAATTCTTAGCGCCGATATACCAGAGCTCCCAAAAGCCCCCCCCAAGTCGAATCCCGTCAATAAGGCCCAGATATCATTATTGTCACAACCCTTTTTACAGTAACCCCTATAGAGCAGAACCAGCACTCCCCTGCATGCAGCCACGGTATCCGGGATTCTTCGGGTTTTTTTAAGGGTTAAGTTAAGTTGCCACAATAAGGAAACCCTATTGTTTACCATGGACCCTTGTTGTGGCAACTTAGAATAAGTTCCTTAGCAAAAATCCAATCACCTGATGGACTATCAATTCTGATGCAGGGGCCCGAAGAAATCAGAATGGAGTCTGGGGGGTCTACAAGACTTCTGACATGCGGGGGCTTAGCTGATAGTTACAAGGGTTCCCGGGTACATCTTCGTATCAATACATACGCGATACTAGTGTTAAATACCCAACCTCCTATGCTGAGCCTGTGAACCTAATTTTGCCCGTCTTTCTCGTAGATTTGGCAATGCTTGGGTTGGCGCAAGCAACATAGGACAGCCCAAAACTCAAACTGCCTGCACCACGGCGAAAGACAAGAGGACAGGCTCGAAACGGAGGTGAATAAGGTCCCTTTGAAAAGAGCCATAAGTCGAGTTAAGAAAGGTTCCCTTTAAGGGGTCTCCCTAAAACTACCTACGAAGGTTGGGGCCCAAAAGCCTGGCGGGGTCTTAGGGTTTTGAGGGTTTACGCTCTCGCAACTCGGACTCCGCCCGACGAGGTCTCTGTGTTCAAGTTAGCTACCTACTATATAGGGCCCTAGGGGCTCTAGTACCCCATATAGTTGGTACCTGGGGGGTTAGGGAAAGTGACACAATGACAAGGTCGCCACGGAGGGTTTACGGTTTAGGGTTTGAGAGCTGCGCAACGTGTCAAGGCGCTTGCGTCTGCTCGGTGATCTCCTCGCGAAGGGCATGCAAGTCGACCACGATCCTGGAATCGTTGAGCGTACTAGTGAACAGCAAGTGGCATAGTGCGTCTACTATGATACATTATGATGACCATGCAACCATAGCAAGAATGGCACTAGGTTGCGATGGTTACAGCAATGCAAATACGAGGCATCGTGAGCACAGTTCACCTAAACTAAACCATGAATCTCATCAACGATCCAGGCCAGTAGGGCTTGAGGTAGGGTTGAGGGATATAGGCCCCTGAACCCTACACCCAAACAAAACCCTGCTTAGAGCCCGCCATCACTGGCCAGAACCCAGCAAGGGCCCTCTCGATCTCGGGCCATGGAGCTCTGAATTTGGAGCGAGGCGCAATGTTCTGCAGCTTCATAGCGGATGATTAGACGGGTATAGCATAGCATCGTACAGGACAGTGTCGTGTAGAACCACAGTGCAGTATCCCTGCCCTAGCTGCTAGAGTATTCCGGAACTACCTATTGTTCAGGGGCTACGCAGTTAGGGACTACAAGAGTATGTGTGTTTTGTGCAAGCTCCGAAGCCGCAGTACGTGCCTTCTTCAGTGTGATGCAAGTGAAAGGTGGGCTCCACGCGTTGCCAACATGGGTAGTTCTCTAAACTAGGGTAGGGGTGCCGTCTAGACAAAGGACCCCAATTTAGAGAACTACCCATAACCATGGCTCACCTCTGAGAGCACCCTTGTCCAATCTGCAAAAGACCTACAGGGCCGTCTCTAGAAGCCGATAAAACCCCAAGATCAGCATCCGACAGTCCTTCTATATGTTTCAATATAGGGTTTCGGAGTGTGTTCTAGTAGAAGTAGCCGGGGCCGAAGACGGGGCTATCATTGCGAGTTGGACATCCCTATTCGTAGATCCATGAGTCATTAACGACTGAAGGGATTCCGAAGTCAAAGAGCCTTGGAAAGAACTATAGTAACTATGAGCTTCCTGTTCTGCGATCAGACGAGCCTCTTTTACTAAGCAACCGTATCAGTAGTTTAATTATTTGCTTTTTGGGAACGCCTTTTTTCCATTCCGGACGAGATAGGACTCCCTGCTAGGACCAGGACGACGAGGCTGCACTACTCGAACATCCCTTTCAGGGTATGGGACATTCAAGGTTCCGGGCTCAGGGTTAGCATAGGACTCCTATCTCTGAGCTCGAAGACAGCATTCATCCTAAACACACCCACTTATTATACTACAGGGTACAGGGTTCAGGGTTTGGGGTGCAGCAATCGGCCCGTGTTGGAGTTTTAGAGAAATAGAGAAAAGGTACCATACGAGAGACATATATAGACGTCATAAATACTCAAATCCTTCATATTACCTCCCCAACCAATGCAACAACATCCATTGATGTTCCGAAGCCCGTGTCCTTGCTTCCAGCTCTGCCACGATCTGGCCCACCTCCTCCTTGAGTTCACTGGAGTCGAAGACAATCTCCTGTGCGGGCATCTAACATCTGAGCCTAAACTATCAGAATGGGGTTTGCCGTATAATTAGCACAGATATAAGGTTAAGAATACTGTTCGGCATTTGCAGAATCATTCAGGCTTCTACGGTGGGTGCGTCTTCCGGGGCACTGGCCTAACTTCCTTTTGCAGCAGAGCTGGGCCTTGAAACAAGATGCAAAATTCAAAGTCTAAGCCCTAACCCCCTAAGCCCAAACCCAAACACCCCCAAGAGCTCTGCCCTCTCCTCTGGTCTCTATCGCAATCATGATGAAACGCAGTCATGATGACAAGCCCTGGTCCGGATGTCGAGATGATGGAAGCCATGTCGCTATGTAGCATCTCTCAGGAATTCGGAATCCCTCCACCCTGCTTTCGGCGTCCTCGACGCTAGACACTGACTTCCTGAGAATGATAGGCTGCATGTTCAACAACTTCAACGTGCGAATAACGTGAGAATGCAACGGACGCCCTAAACTAAACCTGACACCAAGCCTCTAAATTTTCACATGCACATTTACAGCATTAGTCCTCCACTCCAAAGAAACCCCTAAACCCAAAAAAACACAGACTGTCAGACCGAGCGAAGAAGACATGGTGACGTGGGCCCTGTATTTGTGTTGCATTCTGGTGGGGTTTGGGGCTGTACATGCATTGAGTTTTACGGTATACTAGAAACTGTTCGAATAGATGATTAGGCCTAAGGGTATGTTTGGATTAAAGCCCCGGCTGCAAAGGTGACGCTGAAGCTGGTTGCTGTTAACACTCGTGTTTGGAGCTAAGTATGGGCTGTGGGAATTTCAGAAACCAGGAGACCCAGCAAAGAACCTAAAACAGTGGGTTCTTGTTCCGCTATATAATATTCTGCTGTTCTTCGTTCTACGGACCCGCCTATAGCTTTTCCACACCAAACCACGTGCCCGAAACCTGTATAGAGAGTGTATGCCCTGAACCGAAGTCTTTGCGAGCTTCTACTCTCCGAGGTTTCGACTCACACACTCGCAAA